TGAGAGAGAGAAAGAGAGAGAGAAAGGAGAGAAAAATGGGGAGGAGAGAAAACAGATAAAAAGGAAAAAATAAAGACAGAAGAAAAAAGAGTGGAGGAGGAGTAGGAGGAGGTGCGGACCATAGAAAGAGTTTGTGTATGTGTCTGTGTATGTGTGTGTGTATGTGTGTGTGTGTGTAAGAAAGAGAGAGAGAGAGAGAGAGAGAGAGAGAAAGAGTAGGAAGGAAGTAGATATTAAGAAGAGAGAAATAGATAAAAGAAAAAAAAACAAGAAATAAAACGAGAAAAAGGGAGACAGAAGAGAAAGGAATCAAAGAGGGGAGCCAAACGATATATATATATATATATATATATATATATATATATATATATATATGAGTGAGCGAGCGAGCGAGAGAGAGAGAGAGAGAGAGAGAGAGAGAGATAAAAAGAGAAGAGGAAATAAAAAACCGGAAGAGAAATGAAAATGAGGCTATAAGGTGAAAAGATAAAAATGATTATCGAGAAAAGGGTAGAGAAGAGGAAAAAAGAGAGCAGACGAGAAAGAAGCAACGAGTTAGAGGAAGTAATTAACAGCAACGAGAGAGAGAAGAGAGGGATAGGAAAGACGCGAAAAGGGTGGAAGTGAAAAAGAGCAGAGATCGGAAAATTAGAAGATAGGTAAACATAGAGATAAAACAGGGAAAATTAGAAAGAAAGAGATAGCGAAGGAAGAAAGCGGAGAGCGTATGGACAGAGAAGATGGGTGGAAAAGAGAAAAGGGAAAAAGGGGGAAGATAAAGGGGCGGAGAAAGAGAAGATATACAAGCGCCGAGATGAAGCATCTGAATTTCAAAGACTTCCTTATCTCATTCACGTTTCTAGTATTCTAAGTAAATATATTTTTCCTTTTGAAATTTAATATATATTTTCTCTACTGAAAACAAACAAACACGCGTTATATTTCCTCATTTTCTTCCACGTGAAGCCAGACACTTTCCTCATAACAGCGTTATTATAAAAAAAAAACTTTAATAGCCAAGAAGAATTCAAACCGGATATTTATTATTATTATTATTATTATTATTATTATTATTATTATTATTATTTCCTTTCATTTCTTGTGTATACTCATTTCTTTCCGGGTATCAACCAGAGACCTAAGGTCAAAAGTGGCATCATGACATTTTTCACTGAGCATCTTATTAAAAAAAAAAAAAAAAGACTCAAAAAGCAAAATCTTAAGATCACACACGTTGTGCTTTGATAAAGTCCTTCGTAAGATTGTACTTGTGCGTACAATTTTTTTTGTATTTCTATAAAGCTTTGGTTGCAAGGAATTCCTTTTATAAATCTATTGGAACCTTTTTTCAATCAAATTGAGGGTTCCAACTAGAACTGGAATTGCTGATGTCCTCGTGTGCCACATTTCGATTTCAAGGTCCTTGTATTTTTGAAGTTTTTGAAGATCTTCGAAGATACATTACAGTCTGAAGGGACTGCCATGTCAATCAGAAGGCATGTCATGTTTTTGTGGTCTCTGACCACGATGGCTGGGTGATTACCTTTGTTTGTTCTGTCTGTGTGTAGTGTAAAGTCCTATAAAATTGTTGCAGTTCCTATGTCTGTAACGCGCTCTGGGTAGTGTTCATACCAATCTCTTGCAGTTACCTTCTATATTTTCCAAGACAGATATTGGCCCACTCTGTCATGCCAGGTTTAAATTCTTACTGTCTGGGCACCAGGAAAAAAAAAAGCTCGTCAGATCGTCAGAGCAGTTGCCATGGAAATATTTGTAGAAAAGACAAATGGAAACTACGAGACGTCAATGAGAAAGTGACTGAAATCGAGATGCCAATACCGTGCAACCTGATACAAGATGGTCAATTGTTTCTGGATATTTATCACAGAATCTGCATTTCGGGCTGACACGATTTTACAGTATGTGTGCTTGGTAATTTCTAGTTAACAAGCATTGGTCTTGTGCAGCAAGAATAAAACCTTCCTCTTATTCCTTCATTGGGTCTTCACTGGAGATCTAGTGATAGCAAGTAATCTCAATAATATAACACTTTTCTCAGTATCCTAGCTGTTTCTAATCATTTTAATCATTTTACCCCAACGAATGCGAAAATACCACTAGTACGCATTGGGAGTGAAAGGGAGTGAAAAGACTGAGCATAGGGAGGATTGAGGAATTGACAAAGGATGAACGGGATTCAAGAAGATAGATGATGACGATTGACGTTGCTTTTAGATTTTTGAAGATTGTAGTTATAATGGAGGTAAGTAAACGGTTGGGATTTCCACAGGTGGGAAGTATGAGGAAAGAAACTGTTGGAGTAGAAGTGGTGGTTGCATTTAGCTGTTTCACTAGTGAACGGGTGGTAACTAGATGCCAATCTAGTGGAACACTTAAATTCATACAGTCTGGGCACCAGGGAAAAAAACAATCTTGTCAGAGCAGTTGCCATGGAAATATTTGTAGAAAAGACAGAGGGGAAACTACGTCACATCAATGTGAAAGTGACTGAAGTCGAGATGCCAAGTAAGGGTCGATTACATTACAGAATCCTTTTAAATAATATCATCGACCGAATGGTTAAAACTCGTCCCATAATTTCCGGTGCCTCTACTCTTTCGCAAGAATTTTCGGCACTGCTCCCAGTGCTCCAATAACGACTGGCACTACTACTATATTCATATTTTCATTCTCCCTCAGGTTTCTGTCATGGCCAAGATACTTTTCAATTTATTTAGATTTACTCTGCCATTCTTCCTCTTGTTTTTTTCGTCCTTTCTGTCTGTATGTCTTTGAATTTGCCTATCAATGTAGGCTCCTGCAAATCTTCCACCGGAGGTCTAAGGTGAATCTACTTAATTTATCTTTGTAGCTACGCTTGGTTCTGGTACTATGTAACCAAGCACTACAAGACACCCATCAGGATTAAAAACAATACCTGTGAAAGTCAGCAGTCTGGGTAAATGTCCCCCCCCCCGATAGAATCAACAACCACATGTCCACAGAAGTTGGAGGACAACGACTGTCAGATCTACTTGCTACGGATGAATGAATGTGAAGGAAATTGGTCAGATGCATAGACGCTCATAATGATTTTTAAGTATATAATCATTTAAACACTCAATTGTATATCAGTTAAAGATAGTTAATATCTATCTGTACCTATGAATATTAATGGGTGTGTCCCAGTCCTCATAAATACGTTGGACACTATTGTAAGTGGGATAAATATGATGTCTAAGTAGTTCACCACTAGCAGTGGTTTACCTACTTCATGCAGCTGGCGAGTATTGTATTTTGTTGATGTTATAAAGATTACCATTTCATTTTGGTTATATTCCTCATTCAGTAACCTTTTCTAGGTTACAACAATGTCAATGATAACTGTTTCTATCTATCTATCTATCTATCTATCTATCTATCTATCTATCTATCTATCTATCTATCACCATTTTTAACTAGATAGTGTTGTTGACCTCTTACCCCACTGCATTGTTCGATGTGTAAGATCCAATTCACTGAAATCCCTTTCTATAATTATCATTGATTGGCTATAACTATTCCACGCTAGATTTACCCAATCAAAATCGACTCCCTTTGTTTTTCTGTATCTGACCTCAAAGGTCAAAATGAGGAAGTCAGAGCGGAAACACAATTCTCTAAAAAATAATAGTCTGTTAAAGTATTATTTAACACTTATATGTACGCAGGGCACAGTCTAGGTAGAGATTAAATTGATTGGGTCCCTCATTTCTTAGGTTTCGTAATCCTGATGAAATTTAGATGTTTCTAATAAATTTACTTGAGTAATTATTGAGAATGATAAGGAGACAAAAACGATTGACAAATGTGGCTAGGGATGGTAGAATCATCAGTAGTTTGGATTCCTGTCTACTAGCTGATGGAGTTATATATTTTACTCCAAATGTTAGTGGTGTCTAGATTTTTAGTCCAGCGATTAAGAAAATAATTCAAATTCGAATCCCAAATATTATGATCAGTACCGTACTAACAGTAAAGCTTCCTCGGCATTAGTATAGGAAAAGCAAACTGACTATGCGTCCTTCATTTTGTTGTGTTTAAATTAAACACAAAGAAATGAAGGAAGCGTAGTTGGTTTGCTTCTATACTAATGGCGAGGAAACTAAACAGTTTAATGCTGCAATTCTGAGTAAGATAAAAAGAATTCCTATGATGAACGCCTTGCTATGTTCGGAAGACGACGCGCAGTTGTACTGAATATCTATTTAGTGTTGTATGTTATTGTAATAATCCCTAACCGCTGAAAAAGGCAGGGACGATGTGTCGATGAGAGAAGACAACGAGAAGTTTACACTAAATACGAGCAAGCAGGATGGTTGTCTGAACATAAACTGTAGATTACTTTAATCTAAATAAATAAACCGAACATTCTTTCTGTCCATCCGCCCGAGTGTCTAAAACCCATCTAACTCGAGCCCCACTTGTTCTACATAGACATATTATACCTTTTTGGAATCAGGATAATACCGGGATTGAAGATCTGTCCTTTTACCGGGGCTTGAATATCCACTACTGGGATCTATGTTCGGCTGAGGATGGAACAGTTGAAAATTCAAATTTTAAAATAACTGACAAAAAATTAATGATTTTATAAGTTTTTAATTCATATTGAGTTTAAAGTAAAGCTTAAACTTTGAGAACTTAAAAAATATTTGTTTTAAATTTAGTTTCAAAAATATTTCCGAAATTCTATGAATCAAAAGACCAGAGCTCTAAGTCAAAGAGGGGGAAGAGCAGAAGAAACACGAGAGGAGGCACAAGCTAGGAGACAAATAGATAAGAATTTTGTTTTTTTGATATAATTACGATTTACTACTTAATCCATAGTTGAGGGGAAAAGGTAGATTCATACCTTCCTTTACCCTTAAGTGAATATAACAAACCCAACTGGAATTGGACCTCGACACTCCGTTTAACAAGTCCTAGTTATTACCCATTACACCACCCGCACATTCAAGCTTACAGCACCTAGTATTTCCAAGCTGTCACCCATCTAGGTACGGAACAGGCTCGCCGTTACTTAACTTCGATGATCTCACGGGGGCCGGTATTTAAACGTGATGTAGCTATGAGACCATGGATTAAGTAATAAGACTTGTACCAATAAATCGGTATTATATCAAAAAACGAAATTCTTATCTATTTGTCTCCTAGCTTTGCCTCCTCTCGTGTTTCTCCTGCTCTTCCCCCTCTTTGCCTTAGAGCAGATGCAGATGACAGAGTGTTGGTAGCAGACAGAAAGAGAAATATAGGAGCTTCTACAGAACGTGGTTAAGGAGAGCTAGAAGAAAGGGCTCATCATTAATTGTAAGAACACAGAATATATGGTTGTCAGCAAAAACGAAGAACCCAGCATGCGAATTATAAATTAGAGATGCCAAAATTAAGCAAAATTAAGCAAATACAACAATTTAAATATTTGAGAAGTAGAGGTAAAAATACGACACCCAATTCAGAAGGCTCATTGCGATTACGAAATATGCCTTCCAAAAGATAAGCAAGGTATCAAGAAACAGGAAAATCTCTTTAGAAACAAAGGTAAGTGTATTGAACTGCCATGCTATATCGGTTTTCCTATATGGAAATGAATGTTGAAGAGATGAAGAAGAGACTTGTGGTTTTACAGAAGGATTCCGAAACGAGCATGGACTGAATATGTGAACGACGAAGTTTTAGATTGGTTTGGTTTGTTTTACGGTATATCAACCTCAATGGATTATTTAATACCGAGAAATGCTTATTGCTTTGTTAAAAATATATTACTGGTAATATTTTTTCCTTCAAAAATGAATTGCTGGTAATAAATTTTTTTTCAAAAAAGTATTGCTGGTAATATTTTTTCCTCAAAAATATATAGCTCGTAATATTTATTTCAAACATGTATTGCTGGTAATAGTTTTTTCTTCAAACTTTATTGCTGGTAATAATTTTTTTACAAAGTATTTCTGGTATTAAAACCTATTTTTACACTTTTATTGTGTTTCCACCCCAGTTTCGGGGCTAACCACTTGCCTATAACTGGGACCCTAACAGGTGCTACCACCCCGGGTCAGGGTGGACCTGGGAACAACAGCAATCAAGAGATGGCTCCACGCTCCCCAAAAACTCCTAACCAGAGGCCTTGCTGCTGGACGTAGTTTATCGTTATACCCAGGACGGAGAGAAAATGGAAACAGATACTTATATTTAACATCAGAAAGAGATAGTTGGAATTTCTAGCGCACATAATGAGGAAAGAAGGTTTGGAAAATTTGATACTGACATAACATATTGAATGTAAGAGGGACAAAGGAAAGCAAGGCATAACATACATAACATATATGTATATGATTGGCTGAACAGGTGTTAAGAGAGATAGCGGAAAAAGAAAATTTTCTAAGAGCTCTGAAGGGACACACTGGGATTGAACACACGCTATCATTATGCAAAAGAAACAACACAACGCACCTCACGTGTTTAAAATATTTAATACAATTTTTGTTCACAAGCGTTGTCAGGTTTTGCGATTAACATAAAAACCCGTCCAATATCATCACCTGTATGCGAGGCGCCCATATTTAAATTAGAAATCTAGCGTTCCTAAAATGCCAGGATTAGGCTAATAAAAATATTTCTCTATGACAGTATAGGATTATTATTATTATTATTATTATTATTATTATTAGAAATAAATAAAAATAAAATATAAAATAAGAATGAAAATTATAAATATAATAGAATAAATAATAACATAAAAACGTTGCATGAAATAAATTAAATAAACATTAAAAATATACTCCCAGCATGCAAAATAAACTGTTCCTGTCGGAAATACGGACATCCAACCAAAAAACGTTAAATTCGATCTCTTCACCACGAACCTTGGGACGGGTAACACGTGTCCGGCTTCTCTCTGTGATATGGCTTGTAGTACAACGGAATTCCGCCTTTTATCACATGTGCAATAAAACAATAGTAATATAAAAAACAAAAAAACAAAAAAAAACACACATACCAATACACACAAAAATATAAATAAATTGTATGAAATTAACATAGAATTAATCATACCTTTTTCTGTTATTTGTGTACGTTTTAATTCCTGTCAAGTATGCTTTTATCTCCGTGAACAGGAGACCAATTTCTGCTGCTATGATGTGAGTGAATAACCACCCACAACAACGATAACATTAACGTTCCTGATAATAACTACAGAATTATGCATTATGAGCATTGCACTGATTCTGACGTGCGACATGTATGGAAGCTGGAAAAACTGTAACAAAAGATTTACCAGGTAGAGCATTTTAATAAAACGTGTTTGCACAACAACAACTACAGTCACTTGAATAGGTGTCTGATTTTTCCATTTCAGATATTTACTAAATGTAATATAGCCTACGGTTAAATGCAGGACGTAGCTGATAGAAAACTGCAGTGAACGATTCTTTAAGTTGGAAGGAAGGATTCTATGACTTAAAAAGTTTACCTTTGAAATAATTCTTTCTTTCCATGTGGGGATAGGCATCTAGAGAGAATACACAGCTAGCTTAGCGACGAAGCAAGTCTAATTATTCAATCTTGCACTGAATCAAAGCCAGAGGACGCTCAATAATGAGCGAACTCACTTGTTATTTGACCAGCGAAACGAGCATGACAAGCATCGCGCTAAGGTGAGCGTCTCAAGTACATGTATATAGTTGATTAGTAAACTTAGTCGATCATAAATCCATGACGTGGACAACTCGGTGCTTGGGATGTGTGGGTGGATGGGTGAATGGTGTGTAGTTCTTGTCATGCTTATTCTCTCTCTCCTTATCTATTTATATATCAATCTATATCTTGCATATATATAGATCTATAGGTAGATAACGTTCGTTATCTGTCTTGCAAATACATATATCTATAAATAGATACACAAATAATCTATCTATCTATCTATCTATCTATCTATCTATCTATCTATCTATCTATCATAAGACTTCTACACGAGTGATTTGATCTGTGAGTCCCACCTGCTACACATCACAGGCAGCCTAACTTTGAATATAGATATGTAAATAAATAAATCTATAGCCTAATGATAAAAAGATTTCATTTTTACACAACGTCTTTTTATTTTAGCACGCTCTACTTCCTTGTCAATGCACTTAACTCAATCATATAGATTGAATGATCTACCTGAGAACATTTCAGATAAAAATTCAACTACCTGTATAAAGCAACAGAATTATTAATGCACACTCGTGTCTATCAATATATTTAACTATGTAGCTATCTATCTTATCACAAGACCACAACATGAGCGAATTATTCTGTTAGACGAACTTACTGAACATCGTACCACACAGTATATATGTGCATATGTCTGCTTCTCTCCCTATATATATGTATGTGCGTGTACGTGCGTGCGTGTGTGTGTGTGTGTGAAGAACCCGGCCCACTTCTCAAGATATGACCAAATGACCAAACATCGGAATTTTTGTGGGACGGACTTCTTGGTCGGGTCGAGAACTTTTCAGCACATCCCATATATCGTGGCAATATACACTGCATAATTCATTATTATTTATCACACTGTTCCACGCCCCAGAAAATAACTGCTTGTCATAAGCACACACACACACACACTATATATATATATATATATATATATATCAAGAGAGGGAGAAAATAGTGGAGAAAAAAGGAGATAGAGAGACTACGATAGACGCAATCTTTTTCTCTCACTTTTTCTCTCGTGCTTCTGTCTGTCCACCTGTCTCTTTCCTTCGTGTGTGTGTGTGTGTATGCGTGTATGCGCGCGCACACGCATACACACACACACACTGACACACACACATATATATATATATATCCTTTTTACGTCGCCTTTCGTCACGGCCGCTGCATAACAACATTTATTCTGTGTGAACAGTTCGATCACGTGGTAAACGGTGAAAGCTTTATCGCATCATCAATGCGGAGTTGATTGACAGGCGAGTTCGTACCGCCCCTACTTTTGTCGCTATGGTGACCGTCCTGGCTCTGGTGCAAATTCATCTCCATCTAGGACACACCTTTTCCCAGTTTACATCTCATCATTGAACATCTGCTTCATCTTTACATTCCACCAGCTTCATTGTTTTCTGTCCAATACATTCCTGGCTTTTTGCCAAGCAAGTCGCCAACGTCTAAAAGAATAAAAAAATACTAATAAATAAATAAAAAAAAAAAGTAAATAAAATAAAATATCCCTGGATTTTATTGTAGGCAGCGTAGCGGCTATCGACGCGGGAAGTTGAATCGGTGAGCCGGGTTCAAATTCCAGCCTCGTCTGTTGCCTCTACTTTCGCGCTATTACCTATGAGAAAGGCATGAGTCCATCTTTTCTCCCACGAGCTATTCGTTAAGTAGCTAGTTAGATTGGGTCTCTTTAGCCTTGGGTAGCCACTAGTTTAAGAGGTAGAAAACTCTGAATATAAAACTGTTCTAATGACAATGAGAACCAACTCCACTATCTTCCCTAAATAAACATGGCAATTCACAGATAATAGAGAAAACGAATCGAAGGAGAGACATGACCACCTACGTCCTGGATGGTCATGGCATTAAAAGAACGTATCGTATGCATAAAGATATATGTCAAGTATATCTTCGTATGGCACAAGTGTTGGGTATCCAATATTCCCCTTAGTTATTAGGACTGATGAAGGCCAGAAGGCACAACAGCCGAAACGTTGTGATAATAAAATAAAGTTGAATATAATAGTCCGTGTGTAAAGTGTATAAGAGTATAGCTTTTTAAAGCCTACCTAACGGCGAGGCGCCTATTTGATATATACTAAGATTATCTTTGTCTGGCACAAGGTCACAATTTTGGGGTAGAAAGATCCCAGTTCGCTCTCTTTGTGGCACTCTCACTGAGGATCAAGTTATTTACAGTAGTATGAGTCTAGCTTATTGACCGCCATTCCATGGCAACGTACTTCAGATAGATTTAGTTTAGTCTGGCACAGGGCTACAAATGGTCATCTGTGAAGATCAAATATGTTAAAGTAGTAAATGGGAAAGTAGGTTTGGCGAATGTGACACTCAC